AAAGTAACGATAGAAAATTAGAGTTGTCTAAAAAGTTTTCCAGCAATATCGTAAATATTTGGAGAAAAGAAGGATATCTCGTGGCGCAATAATATTGCCCTTGTTCTAGATCGTTTCTTTGAACAGTCTATGTTCAACCTCGAGCAAAAGTGGAGGCCAAACACTCCGATAGAAGGGGAAAAATATTGTCTACAATGATGAAACTCGTAGCAATTACTAATAATTGAGACCAATACACGTGAAAACATCAAAAAATTGAATGTATATGTGTATTTATATATAATAACGAGTAATACAAGATAACAAGTTTCATAAACATTGTTTTTCGATTGATTATAAAATTATAACGTGTGTATTCGTGCATATATTAATACTTAATTAATAAACGATTAAATCGATTTATCATATGAGACCGCCTTGTGATTTTAGATATACACATATCCTCCTGCAATTTATTTATCATAAGAATTTAGATATATAGATCCTCCCACTGAAGAATGCATCAGGATAATTATTACATATTGAAAACATCGAGGCCGATGATTATGTAAAGTAGAAACTACTATTTAGCATAAAAAAAAATAACTATTTAGATAGAGAAAATAATCGTTAAAATATACACAATATTGCAAATATGTTAATAATAATAATATATAATTCACTGGATAATTTATCGTTATAAATTAGATTAGATATTCAATTATTTAGGTGTTAATTATGATGTTTATAGATCACGTTAATTTTTCCATATATATTTATATGAAATTTATCTTATATTTATGATATTAAAAAATATATAAAACAATAAAGTATTTATTAAAAGCATAATTTATAATGAATATATATAAGTAATATTTACGTTTATTTAATGGAATGTGTACTTCAGAAAATCTAATGATTTAATTTATCCGTACCTTGAAGTAAGTAATATGCAAATTAAATAGTGAGATACAATTTGCTGATTTATATACGGTTTTTCAATGCAATTTGAATAATTAAATAATTGAATCCAAGTTATAATTAATTCTTTTTTTCCAGATCGCTACTTTTTTGATGCAGTTTTAATAATTTTAATTTAATCTCATCGTTTAGTTTCATTCAATGAAATCATCGAATCATGAAATTATGCATATAGTAATTCACAAAAACATTCTAATTCGAATTATCACAGTAAACAATAAATTAAGATATATACATCAAGATTGTATAAATTATGCAAATTTATTTTTTTTTCAGTCAGAAACTGAAATTGTTTTTTAAAGTTCTGATATATTTTTTTAAGTGTAATCTTATAATGATAAATTAAAAATAAAATTTTAAATATATAAATTTTCAGATTTTAATATTACATTATTTTATTGTAAAAAAATATATAAATGAAATTATATTCAAATGTGAAAAAATATTAAAACTAAATTTTTATTTTAAATGAAGTAAATCTATCGCATGATGAAATTAACGATAAATTTTTCTATCATTTTTTCTATCATTGATCGATATAGTAACGATTGTCATTTTTTTCATTGTTTTTTTTCTTTTTTCTTTTTTCACAAGCGTACCCACTTTCGTATCGAAAGATTATGCAAAGATTTCGACAATCATACAACTTTGTTTTGTGTAACATGAAAACTTAAGAAATAATTAAGACGTTCAATGATTCATCGAAGTTGGTTGATGGATCACCTCAGACATTCGGCTTTCTATTCATAACGATTTGTGTTAATGAATTTGTAGAGAAAACATCGGTTCGTAATAATTTAAAGAAGGGAAACGAATTTATCCTTAACGAAAATTTAATATTTCAATAAAAAATTGAAATTTTACGAATTTATTAAAATTAATAAATTGAAAATGAAAAATTAAAAAATTACAAAATTTATCATTTTCAAAATTAAGAAATTTTATAGATATTTTGGAGATTTATTTAAAATTTTCAAATGTAATATGTAAATCCAGAAAAGTTATTAAAAATTTAATAATTTCTAAGTTTATAGTTTTAAAATTAAAAAGTTGAATATTTTTGAAGTTCAAAGATTTAAAAATAAAATTCTCGAAAACTTTAGAAAATGTAGAAACGCTATCCGTACGTATCCTTGGCATAAACGTAGATATATAGAGCATAAATCAAGGACTTTTTACACTTAGAAAGCCTACACGGTTATTTTTTATAATTCATAATAACCGTATCGTTAATTATTATCTCTATTTTTTTAATTACCTTCATTAAAAGCCAATAGCGTGGAAAGAATATAAGTTAAATTTAAAAAATTATTTTATTATTATACATATTATACTTTCCGAATATATTTTTTTCTTATATATTCTCCAATCTTATAATCTTTATATTGTTGCACATAATACACTAATTTGCATATAAATATCAATATATTTTGAAAATTTCGAAGAAAATGATAATTGTTCATCTACATTGATTAATAAAAGCATTTTATAATTTGAACATACATAACAATGATATTAAATCAATAAGATTATAACTTACTGAATTTAAAATTACAAAATTTCATATTTTACTAGATCTGAGAAGAAACTTGTTCCTTACAACCTTTTATATCCAATTATCGTTTGTAAAATAATCAAACATTTACTGAAATTACTTGAAAACAATATATTTTATATTTCAAATATTAGATCTTCATTTCAAATAATAATGCCAAAAACCTAAAACTGGCTCAAATATTCATTCAACTCTTTTAGCCAAATATTAGCGAAGAATTAAAAAAAGGAAATGAAAATGAAGTGCAGGAAATGAAGAATAAGAATAATATAATTACATCACTATCGTTGCTTTCGTTGGTACAATTCCCTTTCATCACCTCTCATTGTGTATTTTATCGCGATAACTACGTTCTATAAAAATTATCTCCTTTTCCAGTGCATAAATCTGAACTTTGAAAGCGAAGCCTACCGTTTCTCGATACGCCTTGTGTTAAAGGCACGATCGTGCTAATTATCGCGCCACGTGCCAGTTTTCTGTCAATATTATCCGGTATCGAATCATAGACACAGATTCAAAGTGAAAAGCATACAAGGATTTTTAAATGGATAAAATTCGTTCTTCGATTTCAAACTTGACCTCAAGCTCAAACGAAACAATGGGTGGTCTTTTGTACCATTCTCTCGACTCGAGATAAAATCATGAATGCTGAGGATAAAAGTTCAATGACATTGATGAATAATTTAAGAACTGAAAGAGGAAAAGAAATAGATTAGAATTTATTAAAAAATGTTTGTAATTTGAAAATTGAAAAATTTATAATTTTAAACTAATATAAAATACTAATATAAAATAAATTATGGGATTATATAGGATTTGTACAATTCAATAACTTTTAATTAGTAATTAATAATATCACTACTGTTGTAGAAAAAACTTTAAAGAAAGAAGTATGATTATATGAATTTGTATGAATTTTATTTGTGTGAAAGAATTTGATCTAGAAATAGAAAGGTGAATTTGAAATGAAGTAATTAAGGGCATATTTAAAATGAATTATTAAACTCATATTTCTTCTACTACTTTTAACGTCACAATTCTATTCAACAGATTGAACAATCTCTTTGAAAGTAACTTATTAATCTAAGTAAATATTAAAGTACACCGTATAATTTACATGCATTATGTACCGATATCTATAAAAAAGATGACTTAAGGTACTAAGATCATTTCATTTCATACACATATGCGTGTAAACAAGCTATACATTTTTTATTAATTTTTATCACACGAGTTGTGCAAAAGTTTGATTAATTAAGAAACATATCGTACTTATTATCATGCCACGTAACATTGTATAATATTTAATCAAAATAAAATAATTTGCATTTTAAATTTCATATATTTTTTTCTTATTTACAATTGCGCCAATTACCGTAATTGATAAACAATCTCAAACGTTAATGATCGTTGAAATGTTCATTGATTCGTCGAAAATTTCCAGAGATTTCGATCAAGAACTTAATGTTGTGAATTAAATGCAAATTTATTTATGTTTTCTTTCCATGAATTTCTAATGAATTTTTTTTTCCACATGTTATGTTTTCTTTGTATAATCCTCCATAATGAGTGATATTTGTTTCGTAAGTAATATGGACTTCAACTATAATGTCATATAGTCAATTGTACAATGGATATGAAAAATATTTGCGTATGATTATATTTAATTTAAAATATTTTAGCATTTACGTGTTAATAAATTTGATTCAAATTTTTATCATTATCATATTTTTTTATCATTTAATAATATTTTCATTGAGTATTTCACATGAAACGTTGATCAAAATACGATTCATTTGGAAAATAAGAGTTCAAATAACAATTTATAATTATCGTACAGGATGAATCATCAAAATTCTGCCATTTTAAATTATTTATATATAAACTACATAAGTTACATAAAACATATGTTTTAAACAGAAGTTATATGATATCAAGTTGCAATCATTATTTTAAATGACTAATAGTAAAATAGAGAATGTTCACATGATTTTAAAGAATTTTAATTTATGATCGTTCGATGTTAAGTTATAAAATAATCAATTCTACTTTATAAAAAATTGAAGAATAATTTTTATTCTCGTTCTTATCTTTGATTGACTGACAATTTGATCAACAAAAGTAATCAATATCAAATCATTTTTTATTATTCACATTAAAGTTTATAAATATAATAATAAATCAATGAATAAAAAATTAAAATCACATCTTGTTACATTTATCGAACGATGATTATCAATGATTATCTAACATTACAAATTAAAAATCGTTATATAAGAATTAAACGTCTTTTGTTAAGAATGAAAAATTATAGTCAACCATTTGAAAAATGAAATCTTTAAAAGTTCTTCATCAAAAAAAAAAGGATTACATATTTTTGTTATATTTCTTTATATCGTATAATTTTCGTATACAAAGTTTATCTGCGTGCTGTTTGATGTCTATATATTACACATATTTCATAATATTTATGAATTCGACATTGTCTCTTTCGACTGATAATCATAGAATCCTCTGTTGTCATATCATTTATCGGAGAGTGATTCGTGCTTGAAGGAACGTTAACATAATGATCGCGATTTTGGGAGCTTTGTTAGCTTTCGGTGTCATAGTGACTTATATTGGACCATACTGCAAAAAATTATGCATACAGCATGGTAAGCAT